TTTACGGACTCCCTTTCTGAAGTCAGAACTTCTACTATGCCGTTCTCGTTCTCCTCTTTCTTCCTCTTCACACCTCGAGAACTGGGTCCTTCGATGGCTGGTTTGGGTTTTTTGGGAACCGTCCTCAGTCTGGCCTCACGAGATGTCTGGGGAATATGCTGAAAATAAAATCCAACAGTGTTCAAAAATGCTCTCACCAAAAGAACTTGCTATGCCGATTTCACTAGAGTTTCGCACTGGCCTGAACAAGCACAACAATTTTTAAAACACCACTCTCTATAGCGTTGGTTCAACAGGGAGAAAATTTTGGCAGTTAAAAGCAGAGATCCGGGGGGAGAATGGCTCGGTGTGGAAGATGCTGGCCTGGAGGAAGGACCGACTGTGATAAACAGTCATTCTCCCACAAACGCCTACAACCACAGCGCCCAGGGGATTTGACAGGACTGCCGGGGCTAGCTGGCTGTCAGAATAGCTGAGAAAACGTGAGCACCAGGTCCAGAGAGAGACACTGTCTGCCTCAAGAGTAGGGACACAGAAAGGACACCAAATGCCTTCTTCTGACCTCCGTGTGCACAGGCACTTGGATCAGCAGTAGTAAAAACAAGGAGCTCTGATCCAGGCTGGACTACCTGGTAAGACAGCAAGGCCTAGGCACATGTTGTGGGATTTGGTGAAGGTGGTTTGGTTTTTTTGTTAGCTCATTTATTCAAAACAGGATTTCTCTAGTCCTAGAACTAGCTCTAGATATGGCTGACCTTGGAACCTCAAAGATCAGCCTGCCTCTGCCTCCAAAGTGCTGGGATCACAAGGTATACGCCACCACACCCTGGTGGTGATTTGTTTGTTCAGCCTAACTCTGCCTGCCCGGGCTGACCTTGAACTTGTCACCCACCCTGTCTCAATCAGGATTATCATTGTAGCCCATCTAGTTCTTTTACTTTTGAGCAACACTGTCCTATTGGCCGAGAACCTACTAGCCAAGATACAGACCCTCCGGGCTCCACTCCCCAGTTCTGGGATCCTAGTTGTATGGTGCCCAACTGTAGTACACAGTTTCAAATACAAAAGCTATAGTAAGACGGGAATTGCTGTGTAGTGGGCATCGCGTTTGGGTGCTACCTAAACAATCCTAATGACTACATTCAAACCAATAAATCATGGAACCTAGTGGTGCATGGCCTGTAATCCCCACTATTCGTGCCTGTAATCCTGGCACTTGGGAGGTTACAAGCAGGAGAATTCAGAGCTCAGTGATCTCTTTAGCTACACAGGAGGCAACCCATGACACTTGGAGACCTTATTCTAGATGTGGCGCACATCCTTAATTCAGCACTCAGGAGGCAGAGGCAGGTGGACCTGCATTCCAGGCTGCCCATCCTACAGTGAGACCTTGTAAAACAAACAAACAAACAAAAAAAAACCCTCACATAATCAAATAAAGAGTAAAGAAGAAAAAAAGGAGGCTGAGTTCAAACTACACATTTGGTCCCTCAAATGTCAGTAACCCTGCCTTAGAGGAAGGTTACATAGAGCAATTATAGCGAGGCCATGGGGGAAGCCACCTCCACTCCGTCACCATACCCGTTACTCACACATTCTTGTTTGGAATATGAACATTTCTGTAGTCTCATGTAGACTTCTACTTTCTAAGGAAATCAAGAGAAAAATAGTTAAAACCTGACCATACTCCACATACTTAGTCCACACAGCAAAGAACCCCAGTGGGAGGATGCTAACCTTGCCGTCCGTACTCAAATCATGACAGCGGCACCATTCCCGAAGTGTGTTCCGGGACACCTCATTAATGGGAGGCAGGATGGCTGGCAGGGACGGGTGGGGATTTTGCTTGGATACCGAGGGGCTGGCATCCCAAGAAGCTGGCGTTGGGAAAACTTAGAAAAGAACAGAGACAAAGCAACAACTGTTTAGTACCGGGTGGTTGTTGACCATCTAGTTTGTACGTAAAGCTGCCTTTTGTTTGCCTCCTGTTACAAATGAGGAAAAAAATGAGGAATTCACTTGAGGAATTCAAGATCACATCACACACCTCTTAAACTAGGAGACCCAGGACAGCAACCCACACTCATATTCTAAGTTCTATGCTTTCTTTTAAAGATTGTCTTAGTATGTTTATGTATGTGCCAGTGTGCATTCTAGACAGCAGAACTCGTTCTGCTTCTTTCTTCCATTTTTCTCGAGATGGGGCTTCTCTGTGTTGCCTAGGCTGTCCTGGAACTCTTTGTAGAACAGGCTGGCCTCAAACTCAGATCTAGCTGCCTGCCTCTGCCTTACATGTGCTGGGATTAAAGATATGTACCACAACACCCTGCATCTACTTCCTATCTCACACAAGGCGGCAAGCACATGGGGCTTAGCCACTGAGAGAGGTACAGTTTTCTCCTGGGGAACTACAGTGAGGCTTAATGGACTGTGTGGTGTAAGAAGCCTGCCTGGTTTGGTGGTGCAGGACTTTTACGCCTTTAATCCTAACACCAGGGAAGTAAAAGTGGGGAATTTTTCTGTGAGTTTGAGGACAGTCCTGTCTACATAAAAGGCTCCAGGTCAGCCAAGGCAGAACACTGAAAAACTAAGTCAAACAAAAGCTATCTACTTTCTTGGCTTTCCAGAGTTTACTGAAAAATCCATCTCACACCTACACTGTTTTTCTCAGGACTCTTAAATTTGACATTACCTGCTGGCTTGAGCTCTGTGGCTGAAGATTCTGTTGCAGGGACTTCTAAGGAGAGATCCTCCGTGGCTGGGACAAGCGTTAGAATTATTTCTTCTTCAAATTCTCTCTTAAACTATGTATGCAAAGAGAAGCAGTGAACAATTCCGTTAACTTTCAAGGCAAGCTTAATGAATTCATTACCATGTGTGCTCTTGTGTTGGGCAAGCAAGATGCCCGGAACTTGGACCAGAGTGGTCCTTGTGAGAGGACTGTCTACATACGATAGGTAATCTCAGTCGTCCGGGTTTGCAAGTGATAGGCCCAGGCTCAGAAAAGAAATGAGTTGCTGGGTGTTGGTAGAGCAAGCCAAAAATAAATTTAGACTCCAAGCACTCGGGAGGCAGAGACAGGCAGATCTCTGTTAGTCTGAGGTCAACCTGGCTTACAGAGTGAGTTCCAGGACAGCCAGGGCTGTTACAGAGAAGTCCTGTTTTCAAAAGCAAAACAAGCAGCAAAAAAAAAAAAACCAAAAAAACAAAAAACAAGATTTTTAAAAAATGAATTAAAACTATGGAGTATTGACACCTCCTTGAGGAAGTTTCTGAACACCCTGCAGATTTGTGCCATACCCCTCCCCTTCTATTGAAATCTCTTCACTCTCCTCATTTTCAAACTTGAATTATTAATTTTTTTACATTTGTGTAACACCTTATCAAAATACTCCAGACATAGATTTACTTTTGTTACCTAAAAAACAAAGAAAACAAACAAATAAACAACAACAACAACAAACAGTGCCAGGCAGTGGTGTAGCACACCTGTAGTCCCAGCACTTGGGAGGCAGAAACAGGCAGATCTCTAAATTTGAGGCCAGCCTCGTCTACAGAGAGTTCCAGGACAGCCTGGGCTACACATAGAAACCTCATCTTGAAAAGCAAAAAGCAACAACAAAACAAAACAAAACATTGATATTTCCCTACTCTGGTGATGAGGCCTAAAAGCAGCTGTGAGTTGACTTGTCCAGTTCTTTCTCCTAGCTTGGTACAGTGGTCCTTCGCTGGCCCAGGATCACTCATGCCTAGATGGGAAACCCACACGGCACTAGGGGTACTGGGAACTAGTTACTTCTCACCAGAAAAAAAAAATGTATAAGTCATCAAAAATTTCCACTTAATCTTAGTTCACGTTTCTGAGAAATTTTTGTTTTAGCTACGGTACTCCTTGTCTAAGACAAAGGTACAGACAGGTTACTATTTCATCTGGGAAACGGTTTCCTTTTACTCCCAGGGAATACATACTGTCGAGCATGTGGGGAAAAAAAAAGTAACAAGCAGAGAATTCCAAGATGGAGGCTTTGAACTCGAGTTGATTCCTCCCAAGTTGGAAGCAAGAGGGAGACCTAGAAAGACAGTGAAAAGAACTATGGGAAAATAAATTCTCCTAGAAAGAAAGTTACCTGGTCATAGATGTCCTGGCCGGAGATTGACATTTTCGGCAGGCTTCAGAGAAGACAAAAGCAGCAAAGACAAGGATGTCCGGAGCTCACTGCTGCTAACCTGAGCGTTCATTTACAGGTAAATGCCTCCTCCTACTTCCTGTTGCCCAAATGGGCTCTTTCCCCTCCTCCTCCCTCCACCCTTTCCTCTCTGACAGTGACTTTATCAGGTCCATTGCTCTCAGTAGAGAGCGGATAGCACACAGCTGAATTCTTACGTAAATCAAAAGCCCCTACCCCCCCCCCCCCCCTTTAAAGATTTGGGCTTTTGAGCTGTTCACGGTGTCGAATGTCTGTAATCCCAGTGCTCTGGATGCAGAAACAGGAGCAGGAGGGTCATAAATAAAGACTTTGAGGTCTGCCTGGACTACATAACTAGACCCTCCCTAAGGGTGGTGCAAACTAGTTATCCCAGTCCAGGAGAGACTGAACCAGCAAAATGTTCAGCTCCACTCAGCCTGGGCTACAGAGTGAAACCCTTGGGGGAAAAAAAAAGAAAGAGAGAGAGGAAGAGAGGGAGGGAGGGAGGGAGGGAAGGAGGGAAGGAGTGAGAGAAGAAAAGAAAGAAGAAAGAAAACAAAAAAAAGAGAGTCTCTCCCTAAAATGAATTCTTAGTTTATTGAGGAACTGTCATTGAGCTGGACTATGAAGTCACACCTATCTCCCGACTCTCTCTGGTGGGGGTGTGTCCCTGGTCCCTGGAATCTCTATTTCCATCATCCCCTCAGGTGCTTCTACATTCTAGTCACACTGCCCAAAATCAAGCTTTGCCAGAACTGGCTTTGGAGATAGGCCCAGAAGAGTCCAAAGTCTGTGTCCCTTCCTTTTGGGACAGAAACTGAATGATATCTAGAGAGTTGGGGAAAGACAAGGTCTCCTCCTTCCCATGTGGGTGCCATAGTGCTGCTTTGGGTGGTTAAGGAAGGTGGCCTAGCTGTCTGAGGTGGGTGGCATTGAGACAAACCTGCTGCTGTCCTTATTTTCTTGGGCTTCAACTTCACAAGCACAGGCAGGAGCCACCAGGCCCTAGTCACATGGTATAGTTCTCTCTCTCTCTCTAAATTTTATTTTTTTCATTTCTTTTTTTTCTTTTTTTTGGGGGGTGGGGGGGCCGCGGGCATTTCAAGACAGGGTTTCTCTGTAGCTTTGGAGCTTGTTGTCCTAGAACCAGGCTGGCCTTGAACTCATGGAGATCCACCTGTCTCTGCCTCCCCGAGTGCTAGGATTAAAGGTGTGTACTGCTACCGCACAGTTTCTTCATTAAGAAATAGGACAGGCAGGAAGTGGGAGGGCGGGTATTAAAAAAAAAAAAAAAGAAATAGGACAGGCCTAGTGAACTGAAGGAAGGTGTGGTCAGTGGTTAAGAGCACTAGCTGATCTTGCAGAGGATCCAGGGTAGATTGCCAGTACCCATGCAGGGGCTCCCAACTGTCCATAACTCCACTTTCAGGGTATCTGAGATCTGAATTCCAAAGATACTTACTGGTTGGCGCACATGCAAACATGCAGGGGAAAAGAAATACCCATACATTTAAAATGAAGTTTAAGTTAGAATCTAAAAGACAAACCACATTTTCACGAAAGCTGAGCGTGATGGCACATGCCTTTAAGCTCAGCGCTCAGGAAGCAGAGGCAGGCAGCAGCCTGTTCTATAACTCGAGTCCTAGGTCAGTCAAGAATACAAAATGGGGATTCTGTCTGAAACAGACAAAAGTATTTAGACAGGCTTTCACTAGGCTTATAGGGCACTACATCAGCACACACAGGACAAGATGTGCAGCCAGCAAAGAAGAACAAGGAAAGATGAAACGCCTGGGCTGATGTGACTGGGCAGTGAAAATGCAAACAAGACCTAAACATTCTTTCTTCTCTGGGGCTGGCTGTAGTGGTGCACACCTTTAATCCAGGCACTGGGAAACAGAGGCAAGTGAATCTCTGTGAGTTCGAGGCCAGCTTGGTCTACAAAGCGAATTCCAGGACAGTCAGTACAGTTACACAGAGAAATCCTGTCTCAAAAAACAAAAACAACAGTAATAATAAAAAAATCAGTCAGATGTGATGGCTCATACCTGTAGCCCTAGCTTTCGGGAGGCTGAGACAGGTGGATCTCTCAGTTTGAGACTTGCCTGGGCTACTCCAGTGAGTTCTGGGCTAGCTAAGGCTACCCTGCTGGCTATACCTGAGACTCTGTCTGAAAAGTAAAACAATACTAAGCAAAAATAATTTTTTATTTACTCAATTTTTACAGTCTTATATTTATTTTCTTTTAGGTATTTCCCCCCCCCCCTCTTTCTAAAACACTTACTTTTGGAAACAAGCCCATGTAGCCTAGGCTGCTCTCCTTGCTAGGTAGACAGATTTACCCTGAGATCCTGACCATCTAGCCTCCACTTGCTAAGAGTTATGATTTAGAAGCATGTACCATTGAACCTGACTGAGGGACTGGAGAGATGACTCAGTGGTTAAGAGCCCTAATCTGGAGCACCAGTGTTCAATTCTCTCCACCCACAGGGTTGCTGACTACTGCCCAATGCCAAGTCCTGTCCCAGGGAATCCAACACACTCTGCTGGCCTCCTGCAGCACCAGGCATGCACGTGATACACAGACGCACATGCAGACAGAATACCCATACCAGTATGGTAACTAAACTTAAAAATTTATTTGAGTCAGGATCCAAATAAGGTCTATGTAATGTGTTAAGTTGATATGTATCTTAGATCTTTCTTTAACCTCCACATTTTCTCTTTGTCTTTTACTTTCCCTCACAATTAATTGTTGTGGATTTTTCTTTCTTCCTTTTTTTCTTGTTTGTTTGAGACAGAGTTTCTCTGTGTAGTTTTGAAGCCTGTCCTTGAACTCACTCTGTAGACCCTGTAGACCATGCTAACCTTCAACTCACAGAGATCCACCTGCCTCTGCCTCCCGAGCACTGGGATTTAGGCATGTACCACCACCGCCCAGTTTGTGGATGCTATTTTAAAAATCCTAAAAGGGACTGACTACTTGAAGGAAGTAGCTTAAGTTTGGCGTTAAGGATTTTTAGATTGAATCTGGCACTGTAGCTCACTGGGTATTTGCCCAGCATACACAAGAATCTGGCTTCAATCCCCAGAACCTTATAAACAGGTGTGTTTACTTGGGGCTGTAGCAGCAGAAGTCTGCTATCTCAGGGCTACGGAGGTCCAAGTATGAAGTTCAAAATCATCCTCAGCTCTGAATCCAAGTTTCGCATCAGCTTGGGCTAAATATACTAAGTTAAAGCCTGTCTCAAAACAACTTAGCCTAGGCTAGGGACATAGCTTGGTGGTAGAGAAGGGAGCCAGAACCATTTCTAATGTACTCAACAGGTAGGTATTAAGTACTTCAAATTTGCTTAAAATTCATCATTTTTAGTGTTAATATCAGTTTTTGTTTTTTTGTTTGTTTTTTGAGACTGAGTTTCTCAGTGTAAAAGTCCCAGCAGTTGTTCTATAGATCTAGCAGGCCTCGAACTCACAGAGATCCACCTGCCTCTGCCACCTGAGTGCTGGGATTAAAGGCATGCACTACTATAACCCAGCAGCCATTTTTTTTTTTTTTGAGACAAGTCAAGGAGCTTGGACTGACTCAAAACTTACTATGTAGCAGAGGCAGTGAGCGAACCTCAACTTCTGCCTCTACCTCTCCCGTGCTGGGCTCACAGGCGCCTGACACCACATCTAGTTTTGCAGTGTGAGGCATCAGCTTCAGGGTCTCAGGGATCTTAGGCAGGTACTCTAAGCACTAAACTTCTTTCTTCTTTCCCTTGACTTGATGTTGAGCGGCATCTGCATCCCCCTGACTGCTTGTCTGTTTTACCCACATCTGCTTTGCCCACAAGGACCCCAGACTCAAGGCCAGGGCCCTCTGACTGCCATTCAATCTTCCTGGTAGCTTTACTGTCCTGGCTTCTAGTAATTAAGTGACATAACCTGACTGTATTATTTCAGAATCCATTAGTCTAGAACTGAAGTTAAGGCCCAACACTGAAATTCTCATCTATCAGCAGAAAACAGTCTCTGTGCTTTACCCCTCCTCCGTACATTCCTGATAGGCTTTCTCAATATTTCATACCTTGTGGTTGTGCAAAGAACAAGGCTTTGCAGATGTGACCTTGAAGAACATCTTTTAGTTAGGATTTTTTATTTTTATTTTTTTTATTACCATAAAGAGACACCATGACCATGGAAACTCATAGAAAGAAAATATTGAATTGAGGTGGTGGTTTACAGGGTTGGAGGGTCATTCAGGCCATTACCATCATGGTAGGGACAAGTAGGCAGACATGGTGCTAGTTACACCTTGACCAGAAGGCAGCTGGACTTCACAGTGGGTGAAGTTTGAGGAGAGACCTCAAAGCCTGTCCCCAGAGTGACAGACTTCCTCCAAGCTCGCACCTACTCCAACAAGGCCAGACCTCCTAATAGTGCCACTCCCTTTGGGGGCATTTTCTTTCAAACCACCACAATCTCCATCCCTCCAGATCTATTTTCTTCAACCTCATTATCCCTTCATCTCTCCTTTGTCTTTGCAACTTTCGATTTTCTATGTGAATCAGCACTGGTTGTTGCTGTCTCTGCCTAAGAATCTATCAAATTTGCCTCTTTTCTGTCTCCTAGGTTTCTTACTTGAATGTTGTATTTTGAGAAAGTATGCCCAATGGAATGAATTCTTATTGGTTCCTAACTGTATTCATAGATCAGTTGCTGTCCTGCCCTATTGGTCATTGTTCTCTTAACTTTTGCCAGTTCACGCCAGCTAAAGTCTGCAGGTCGTTTGGAGTATATTCTCTTTCCTCTTTTGCTGACCCAGAACTTTCTCAGTTAGTTATTCATGGATTTAGTTCTAAGATATTGACCTCATTCTGGAAGAGAACTTAGAAGTGTGTGTGCCCATATAACCTCAAGTAAGTGAACTTGCTGGCTTGAAGTGTGCGGTAAGCCAGAGCATCAGTAAGTTACTTAAGCTGGCTTTG